TTCTTCATCTTTGGCCTTGGCGGGTGGTGCGTAAATTTGAATAATAATTATATTAACTGGTCTTCCTTGTAGGCGTATAGATATTATCCTATCGCTGACAGTGCTGTACTTCAGGATAGATCCTGAAATGTTCTTTTTGATGAAAATGATGTCATTCCTCTTTGTCATTCCCAGCATAGTAGACCATATGATTGTCTGACTCAAGATGGCCAATACCAGTCTATTTCAGCTCACTAATACCTAGGATATCAATGTTTATGCGTTCCGCTTCATTTTTGACGACTTCCAATTTTCCTAGATTCATACTTCGTACATTTCATGTTCTGATTATTAATGGATGTTTGCAGCTGTTTCTTCTCATTTTGAGTTGTGCCACATAAATAAATGAAGGTCATGAAAACTTTACTCCATCTACGTCATTAAGGTTGACTCAAATCTGCATGGACGGACATGAAGCCAATGTGTATAGCTTCTAAGTTGGTCAAGAGACTGCTGCATGTAGGTGAGTACAGATCTGGTCATGGGAGTGGCAGAGGTGAGGACGGTGGTGTTACTCAGAAGCCTCTCTTGGGACTACTCAATGCAGCTGGAAACCAACACTCTGAAGGTGTGTGCTCCACCACCATCACCCTCCCACCCCACCCCCAGGCCTAGGTGGGGCTTCCATCTTTCTGTTGATAGAGCCAACAACCTAGTTCCTTCCACCTGTTCCAGCTACAAGTGACACAACAGCATGCCAACACACAATGATTGCTCCCTCAAAGCTGATATATGCACGATTCTCCCAGGGTAATGACAAATTTACTAGTTATTTCAAAAAAGGTGGCCAATACCCTTCCCTTCTTTTCCTACAAATAGTTTGAATGTTCATCTTACTGTAGACCCTCATCAATTTTTCTATACTTTTCAATACAGATATAATTTAAAAACATGTTGTAACTTGGAAATTATCAAAATATACACAAAAATACAGAGGTCAATCTAATGAACTCCTATATATCCTTTACTCAGCCTCAACAGTTACTGACATTTTGCCAATGTCATTCAAAGATCAAAAAGAAGTGTATTTCTCTCTTTCAACATTAGGACAACCCAGCTCTGTACCTAAGGAGAAAAACAAGAATCCTTTGGCCTTGTGGTTCTAAACCTGTCCCTGTTTGTCTGACGGCTGCACTTTACTGAGACTATTCTGAAAAATCCATGCCTTGATTCTAGGTCCTTCTTCCCATCTGTTGTACTATACATGTCTTTTGAAAGCATGTCTGAGGGCTCAGTGTTCAGGGGTATCTGTTTGTTTCTCAGCAGCTTAACTGGAATTGCAAAGCTAGAATTATATTTTTGAGAGGATCCTAACCTGGCTCCATATCCTCTCCTTCCAGAGGGTGAAGCTATTAAAGAATGGCTCCATTTTCCTGCTCCCCCCCTCCCCACCCCCCAAGTCCAGCCTTTCTAAAATGAAGTATGCATGTCCTGGCCTAGCCTTGACCTTCCAGCTAGTCTGCACACAGAGAAACAGCTGCCTCCTTCCAAGTGCCAGTGACTTGTACTTCACTAGCCTTCCTGGTCAGAATTGGGTTCTACCTCCTGGAAAAGGAAATGGCCAAAAATTTATAGATTTGTCAAAATGTCTGCTGTCAATCTGGCATAACTTTCAGTGGAAATTCAGATAATTAAAAGTTTTAGGAAGATATTGTGTATCTTGCCTACATCAGGAATTCTCATTACATTTCTTCCTTTTGGCTAGGTGGTGTGATACTTTCATAGCCTCACTTCTATTTCTCTTTCTTTTTATCCTCACCCAGTCCTGCCCTCTAAGGCGTCCCTAACCCCAGCTACGAAGACTTGGAGATTGTTAATCTGTCTCTGTTCCTCTTACTAAATCATCATTTGGACCAACAGTAGCATATCATCTCCCAGACTACAAAGCCCTTTCACATACATTACCTCATTTGAGTCTCACAGAAAACAAGTGAGTCAGTCTCATTATTTCCTTTTTTTATACACGAGACTCCTACTTGAGTATGAAGAAGCATCTCATTAAGACACAAAGATAATCATGGATTAGGAGCTACAGTTTACTTCACTGTGCCGTGAGTCTGGACGTACTGTTTCCAACTCACCTCACGATGATTTTTCTCATTTGAATCATCAAGCTTCCCCTTCCCCTACTCTAATCCTCTTGTCTATATTATATGAGCTGTTCTTCAGAGTATTTATGATTATGTGGATACCTTTCCCCTCCCCCTTATATGTTCCATTTAAATACTTTGGGATCTGGTTAACCTACCCTGGGAAATTATTTTCTTCCCCATGCTCATGAAAAGTTTATTCTTAGCTAAAAAGTTCATCATTCTTAGTTCTTAAACATAGTCCAGAAAAACCAAAGTTAGATTCTTTTCCAAAGGTTCAACTTCAAAAGGGAGAAGTGATGAAAACATCATTTATCTTTATTACACAAGAGTTTGTGGTCCCTAAAGATGCTTCTCTGATCATTTCTGATGATGCCATTCAGTCTCCTGCCAATGAGCAGAAGCAGCTAGTCCTCACTGGGTTGTTATGTGGCAGCAGGGTCCTCTCATTCCATACATATGTTCCAAGAATACAGCATACGTGCTAAGTGGAACTACCGAGTTAGTGTATGGCCTCTGCATCCTCTTAAAAGTGGTCCATCAAATAGCACCACTAGCCTTTTTTCCTGAGAGGTTGGGGCCATTAGAGAGATTCAAATAAAAAACCACAATGAGATACCATTTTACTCTCACTAGGATGGCTAAGATAAACAAACAAAAAACCCCAGAAAATAACAAATGTTGGCAAGGATGTGGAGAAATTGGAATGCTTATACATTGCTGCAAAATGTTACAGTGCTGTGGAAAAAAATTAAACATGATACTACCATATGACCCAGCAATTTCACTCCCAGGTATATACCCAAGAGACTCGAAAGTAGTAACACAAACAGATACATGTACACCACTGTTCACTGCAGCATTATTCACAATAGCCAAAAGGTGGAAACAACCTAAATGTCCATCAACAGATGAACTGATATACAATATGTGGTACATACATACAATGGAACACTACTACTCAGCCATAAAGAGGAATGAAGTCCTGGTACACGCATGGATAAACCCTGAAAACATTATGTTGAGTGTAATAAGTCAGTCACAAAAGGACAAATATTGTATGATTTCACTCTCATATCGAGGCATATCCAAAATGGGTCCTCCCTGCTAAGAGTGACTGGACAGTAAGCCTGTCCCATAGTTAGCCAGGGATATTAACAGATTTCCTGCAGCTAACAGCTACTGATTAACTGCCTTGAAGTGCAAATTCAGCCATCATTTATTAAAGTAAACTCCCTAGGACCATCACTCCCTCTCCTCTTCCACGCTTCACTTTCCCCTGCCTTCCACCTATACTGCCCCTCTAGCGCAGGCATCACATTCCTTTCCCCCTTTGTAATTCACCCATTCTTTGAGTACATTAGTGTTAGAACAAAGGCCCCTCAATGCGCACTAATACTATAACCTAGGCAGTTGTCATCGCTTCTCAGCTAGCTCTGGAACTCAGCACTGTCCTCTGTACGCAGGTTTCCCCTCATTAAAAGCCTTTAGTCCAATCAACCTAGCTCTTACTGCCTCTTTTTTCAGAATCTAAACCAAACCTTTGCAGGGGAGTTTTGGGGCTGCTTCACTGGCCGCGAGTGACTCCAGTCTCCATTTTGGTAGTGCCTCGATTGCTGGCTGAGCAGGACGCTATCATTCACTTACGTGAAATAACAAGAATAGACAAATGTGTAGAGACCAAAGTTTATTAGTGGTTACCAGGTGCAGGAGGGAAGGGGAAAGGAGGATCCATTGCTTAGGAAGCAGTGAGTTTCTGTTTATAGTGATGGAAAATTTGGCATTGATTATGGGTGATGGTTGCACATGATTAATGTAATTGATATCACTAAATTGTACACCTCAAAAATGTTGAACTGGCCAGTGCTGTGTTATATACATTTTTGTAACAATTAAAAAAAATGTTTCTATATTATGTAATTACAACCTAGAATTTAAATCTCAGAAAACTGCCACCTAGGTGGTCACTGGATAACTGTGGGGGAATAGTCATAGGCATCTCCCAGAACCCTAAAGCAGCCAGCCCTCACAGAAACTGGAATTACAAAGCTGCCAGGAGCTGAGGCCATGCTCGTACCCCCTCAGGGATCCAATACATTCTCTTCCTCTCTCTTCCCTTCTTCTTTCTCTCTCCAATTCTCTAAAAACAACTATAATTGTATCCACAAGTTAATATGTTCTTCATCATTCAGTTCAAACTGTTTTGTGTCCTCATATTCTACAGTAGGACATCAATAGACTGATCTAAAAAAATCAAGAAAGAACATAAGCATGGAGCAGTGAAAAACAGGTAAAACAATTTACACTGGGGGGAGTCAGCGGTGGGAAGGTGGGGAGCAGGAAGCTGCTGCTTTCTGTTCTAAGCACTGTAGCACTTATTTGTCTTTTTCAATTATGTGAATATAGTATTTTCATAAAAAATAAAATTAAACTAAAAACCAACCAGCAAATGAAACAGCTATGAGAGTAAAAGAGAGAGCCCCAGGACTAACAGATCACTTCTGGCCTTAAAACTTTGGATAATCAGCCAAATCATCTGTTGAACAAAAGGACGTATATATGCAGCTCACATCAGTAATCTTTATTAGTTAAATGTTGTTTTAGTCCAAAATTCTTCCCATATGAAGAGCCAAATCATCCACAACTCTAGTATAGGCCACATGAAAAGCTGCCTCAAAAAACGGTAAGAACATATAAACCACATGTTTTCATTTTATCAGATTAGATGGAATTGTAAGTGACACAGCTCTTTTCAGGAACACAAAGTCTGATCTTTTGTGGAAAAAGAGGTTTATTCTTTTATGAGCTGACACTCAATAGAGTCAATACCTGAATCAAAAGAACAGATACAGTTGGTATAAGTGAAATTACCTGAAGAAAGTCACGAAGAACTGTACCAGGTCCATAAAATTGCTGTGCTGGGAGAAGGCAATCTGTGAAAGGAAAATATGTAGTGTGATTATGGACGCTAAGAAACAGCACCATTAACTCAGCCTTTTCATTCCAAGAGTTAAACTGAAAAACACACTTTACATTTTAAAGAAGAAATTAATGAAGCTTTTTCATTTAAGGAAAACTGCCCCATATCTTTAGTTTCAATTCAACTTTTCTTGTGTAATCGCTAACCCAAAAGTAATATTCTGAGGCTTCAGCACAACCTCCCACAGCCCCCTCTGTTCTTACATCAGATCAAAGTTCTTTTAGTCTGACCTTGAAGACATGACTCCTACATTAAAACCCTAATGACAGTCAATTTAATTCCCTGCCTTCATCCCAGACAAAACGCGCTTCTTGTTTGCTTCAAATTCCAATTCTTGGATTTACCTCAAGGCAGGTAGCCTCATTTTGTGCCTTTCATTCCCTCAACAACACTTAACGTACTCAGCGTGTACTCACTTCAAGATACTGTCCAATTTTTTATTGTATCCGAAGTTTTGCTACACTGAATATCATTTGGCAATCAATATGCCATCAGTTGGCAATCAACAGGCCATCAGTTGGCAATCAACAGGCCATCAGTTGGAATTTAAATACTGTTACTATACAGTGGATGGTCTTTATATCAAAATTACAAAAAATCCCTAATGTACTTCATCAAATCTAACATAGCATCCACTGAAAGAGGTAGTATTTTGTGTACTTAGAAAAAAACACTGCCAATTAAATTATGACATAATACTTTTTTATCACTGACTATTACATGCATTGTGATTTCAGAGACACTAGAATATGAAAAAATGTACACTTCAGAATTTATTAAATTTAATAATTGTGTTCTTACTATTACCTAGAATATACATAGCACTAGCCAGATGTCATGATCTGCTTTTAGGAAACATAGCCCTCCTTGGAAAGACAATGGTAATATAAATGAAACAATTATTGAATAAGGTGATCATTGCACCAATGCAGATAATAAGTATGACAAGAATCACAGAAGTAAATCCTGATCTTCATCTTGTTTGCCTGATTCCAGCCAACCCCTACATCTGTCACTGCACCAACTCCCATCCTATGATAATGCAAGAACGTACTAACCCAGTGTTTTCTTTACAGACTGACTCTCAAATTAGCAGAAGGGGGGCCTGCTGCTGTTTGCTCTATTTGAAGTCTTATTTTCTTTTTGACATTCCACAAATAAATATCCAACACTATCTATCTACACCATAAAATATTATGGAGCATGGAATTTGAAGTTTTTGGGTCCTCCCTCTAGCCATCATCTATAATCATAAATGTAAAGTTACACAGGTTTCATATGACAGATAGGAGAAACCCACACTCTCTGCTCTTCCCTCATTTATTACAGAGGCTGTAAATAGTCCCTATGGGTCACAGTTATCACATAAAAGGTTTTTAATAAGATCAGAGAAGGGCAATTGTGTAAACAAGGTTATTCAATCTTGGAGAAGGAAGATTCCAAATTACAACACATAAAGAGGGAGAAGAAGTACACTCCAGTCCCAGCTCTATTTACATTTTAATCTTTTAAAGCATTAGTATGCCCTCAGTATTTAGACTTAAAGAAATCCATGATATGCTATTTACTCACTGCTGGGTGTCAAAAGAGTTTGGATGCTAAGGGCACCTCTTCTGAAGGCCTATCAGGTGTCCATGTGCCCTGCACCACACAGCACTCACCAGGGCAGCGCCCTCAGCGCTAGGATTCCAGCCAGTCATGCTACCTGACCCATTAGCCTGATTTCTTGCTAAAGCAGGGCTACATCAGGTTCATGCCCAAATTCTAATCATGAAGAATCTCATATAAACCAGCTGCCAGTGTGGCTGGTACCCAAGACTCAGGCATTACTCTAAAGGGGGTCCTTTTTTGTTGATCTTTATTATCTAAGTCTTCACAGTTGTAAGGTTGTGTAGGAAAACAAAAGTGTTTATGAATGGACTGACCACTTAGAAACACGTAGCCCTACTTAACACTTACATATTGTTGTTAGATGATGTCGAGTCAGTTCCAACTCATAGTGACCCTATGTACGACAGAATGAAACAATGACCTATCTGTGCCATTCTCAGAACTGTTGCTACGTTTGACCCCATTGTTGCAGCCACTGTGTCAATCCATCTCAGTGAGGGTGTTCCCCTTTTTCACTGACCTTCAACTTTACCAAGCATGATGTCCTTCTCCAGGGACTGGTCACTTCTGATAACATGTCCGAAGTAAGTGAGACAAAGTCTCGCCATCCTCATTTCTAAGGAGCATTCTGGCCGTACTTATTCCAAGACAGGCTTGTTTGTTCTTCTGGCAGTCCATGGTATATTCAATATTCTTTGCCAGCACCATAATTCAAAGGCATCAATTCTTCTTCGGTCTTCCTTATTCACTGTTCACCTTTCACATGCATATGAGGTAACTGAAAATACCATGGCTTGGGTCAGGTGCACCTTAGTCTTCAAA